AAATTAAGTTTTTGTCAATCAGGATTGATGCCTGTAATCAACTTAGAGCGGGAATTTGCGATCCAGTCAGGCACTGCAATCACAGAGTCACTGCAACAGGTTGAGCCCAATAAAATTGGTGCGGATGAGAATGCCTTTGCTGCTGATGATGATGATGAATTTTATGAAAGCATCGATCTTGATGCCATGGAAGCGGAAGCTACGTATCTTCTCAGACAAAAGTCAGACTTGTCACTGGGGAAGCAAGGGGTAGTTACGCAGCCAAACCCACAAAATTTTGATCTTCAGGGTTCTCCTTCATTTGATCTCGGATTATGGTGACCTGCATCCAAAAGATCTTACAACCAAGTGCTCAGATCAATCAAAAGGATCTACAACCAGAGCACTAAATATATTTTGAAATCTCAGATCTGTTACCAGTTTTTCTCTTTCCCCTTTCCAATTAATCAGGGGCTAATATTGAAAAATATAGAAAGCTTGCCTAATAATGATATGTTTAACTTAACGTGTATAGTCTATAGTCAATAGTCATGTAAAGAAATCATATAATTATGTTCACAGGTCATATTTGTAAACTGAACTGTAAATGTTTAAATTGGTCCTCAAGGTATGTATATTTTTTTCATGATATTACATGTTACCCAGATTTTATCTGTCTTGGTTTTCCATGATGCAAACAGCATATGTGTATGTCTGCGTAGTTATTAAATCAAGGGGAGCTATTTGTATGTTCAATTTGCCTCCTGATTAAATTGGTGTTTTTTTAAGTGTAGAGTGGGATGCCAACTCAGGGAAGCAGAAATCCACTACCATCTTTATTATTTTGTACTTTTGTTATTTAATAACTTCAACTTGCCGTATCTTAAAAAGTAAAACCCAATATCTCTCGATATATAACATCAACTGTTTATAAATAAAATACATATTTTGTATTATGCTTATATGTTCAGGTAATTTAATATTCTAAAGTTTAAAATATTTTTTTATGAAAAATATTTTTTCTAGAAGAATTTTTGTTAATGAATTTAAAAAAAAAAAAAATTCATCCTACATCATTTAGAGTTAACCAAATATATATATATATATATATATTTTGTGGGTTTGTAAGAAAAACTGGACATTTCACTTATGTAAAACATATTTTGGAAGATAAAACCTGGAGAATATAATTAATAACTTTGACTTGGTAATTATATATCAAAATATTGTACAGCATAGAAAAGTATAATATTGGCGTAGAACTCACTCCCTCCCCCACTACTTACCAATAACACAAACACAAGAGAGAAGATACAAATACAATCTGAATACCCACTTGTGTTCGTTTGCTTGTTGAGGCCACTTGTATCCTTTGTTTTTGTCTTCTCTCTCGTAGCATCTGTAGATATACACACACCTTACCGTATCAACTTTGATAATGTAGCAGACTGCAAGATAGAAAATACTACGAATTTCTTCCCCGACTTTATCGTTGCTACATTACTCTCTGCAAAATCAGGTATTTTAATACTCTGTGTGTGTGTGTGTGTATGCGTACATATATAATTTTTATCACGTTCAAAATACCTTTGTCGTTTTTGTATTATATTTTAGTATCTTTGGTTGAGTTTATTTTTTCCCTAGTCATTTTGCACACTAAAGTTGTTGGTTAATTTATTAGGCTCTTTTCTTATACCATTTTAGTTTTTATCTTTCTAAATTTATAAAAAAGTAAGAGTATCATCAAAACTGATAAAATATTAAATATATTTGATTAAAAATTTATATATTTTTTAATTAAATAATAATATGTATATTCATAATAAAATAATTTTATAATAAAGACACACTGTAATATAATTTTTTTTTTTAAGGACGAAACTCACATACAGGATGCAGAGCTAATAACTCAAAACTACACCCTCATATAAAGAATATATGTAACAAATTAGTACCCCAAAAAAACTACTCTACTTAAAATGTAAACAAGTCAAATGAATCTCTGTGTGTGTATATATATATGTGTGTGCTTATTATTTTAACTTCTCTTATGCTTAGATTAATATATATTAGACTAATGACTATTTTCTGTTTGATAATAATAAGGTGTGGGAATGAAGGAGGTGGTGAAGAGTGAAGGAGAGTGGAAGATGCATGACAGTCATGGACCCAACTGGCTGTAACTTGATGGTTTGCAAGCAAAGCTGCCTCCAGCAATGGTGTCTGTTTGACAATTCTCAACGAGGGTTACCAATGTGTTTGTTACATCAATTGCTAACCATCCTCATTATCTATATATATATATATATGTATCTGCAATAAATAATTGTTTTCTTTTTCTTTATGGGCTTTGAAGAACAAGTAGTTATAAAAAGTGTTTAATATTTTCTCATTTAATTAAAAAAAATTTCATTGTTCAATAAAAAGGAAATAGATCTTAGAAAATAATGGTTCCACGTGTTAGGCTAACAGCTTCCCACGTGGTATTTGACTTCTGGTTCTCCCGAAAAACCAGTTGTCGCCACAAAAAAAAAAAAAAAAAATTCAAGTACATACATCTTATCCTCTCCAAAATTATGATCATTACAACACAAGTTATAAATAATAAATTATTGGACTTTGAAACTCTGATGAATTTCCCCCTTAGAAAAACATTGAATTGAAATGGGTTTGTAATTATTTTACCAAAAATTAATATGAAGTGAAAACAAGGGAAAATGAAACACATGGCTCACACGCTACAAAGCTCCTACTCTTCTGTTTCAAGAGCCATATTCACACAAGCTTCTTACTCCCATAACAAAAACAGAGGAAGTTTGACTAAAAATGGCACCCATGGCCGATCAGTAAAAAGCAGAGAAGGTGCTGGGAAGGTCTAGCAGTGCACTGCTCATGGCCGGATTCGGTGACTCTGGCCGGCGGCCGGAGTGTGGAAGCCAGAGACAAGGTGGCCGAGGAGTGGTTGGTGAAGGATTACGGGTGGAAAGTTAGGAGATTGCGCGTCGGTGATGAAGCTGAAACGAGTAAAGCTGCTTTTGTTCAAGCTCAAGCTTTTCATACTCCCATGGCTTTTTTTGATGATTTGTTCTTTGAATTCTTCAAGGTAACTTCTATCATATACCTATACACCAATATATATATACATATATATGCGTGTGTGTGATGTAGTTGAAAATAACAGGCAGAGGTGCTTGCTGGGCTTCATTACAAACTTAGAAACTCTCCACCCAACAGGTAATCTTTGATCGTGTATAATTAAAAATCCAAGGTTTGAAACTTTTTAATGGAAACTTTGAAATTTATCAATTTAATTATCTGGGTGTGTCAGGTATGCATGTTTAGTAGCAGAACCAGAGAGCGATTGGACAGAGTTGACGAAGAAGAAAATTGTGGGTGCTGTGGATGTAACGGCTCAAAGAGACGACGCCGTTTTGAGACATCTTTCAGGAGCCGAAGAATACCTTTATGTGTCCGGCCTTGCTGTTTCCCCAAGCTTCAGGTTTAATTTTGCTTTTATAAAAATAATCTTTCTATTACAAATTTTACAAGAGCAAACTGACTGGTTGGTAAATAATAATGATAATAATAAATAGGAGAAGAAGGATTGGAAGTGCATTGCTAAAAGCTTGTGATGTAATGTCACTGATGTGGGGATTCAGATTTCTTGTGCTTCGAGTTTATGAAGACGATTTAGGTGCTCAGAAGCTTTATACAGCTGCCGGTTACCGGGAAGTTTCCGGTGATTATCCATGGATGACTACATGGGTTGGAAGAAAACGCCGCCTTCTCATGATCAAACAAATTTTTTAAACACTTGTAATTAGCAAGTCAAAACCCAAGACCATTTGAAGTGTACCAATCATATATATGTTAACCCCATTGTAGTTTCTTCGAGTTACAGATCACAAGCATGAAATCAGATTCAGTTTAAAATGAAATCAGTTCATTATGTGTTTTGAAAAATATGTAAGCGCTAAAGAATAGACACAGAAAGGTTAACATGAAACCTTGATTCAACAAAATATACAGACAGCGGAGGGTGAATCAATTGTCTGGTTATGCCTAGTGAATTGTGATGTACCAAAGCCATTGACATAGGCATTGTTGACCACTCGGCTACATTCCCGGCCACCATCAATTCTTAGACAATTACAAGTAAAAACATCCGACCTAAGAAGACCTAATTCTGAAGAAAATAAAGCTTCCACAACCCGACATTAGATCAGAAAGCATCCCAACCTACAAAGCGAGCACCTATTTCTACATCTCTAAACCAGTTAACAGGCACAAACATTTTTACAAGACGAGGAATCAGACATGACCCAGAGGCATGTCAGGGGAAACAAGATTTGATTCCAGGGTTTGAAAAAGGATGCAGACTTAAGAGCCAGTCATCAATGACATTGCTCGTCTGAAATCTAAAGATTTGAGTGCTGCCTCAGGAAAATGCTTCCCATCTGGTACCCACATTCCTCCTTGATGAGGCAGCAATAACTTTTGTTGGCTACTTGTTGCATCTGCTTTGCCACCATAGGAAGCCGAGACTTCTTTCTTCTTCTTCACAAATTTAAAGAACTCTGCAACTTGGTGAGCGTACCTTCATCACAGCCAGATTGTGAAATCAGTTCATATACTGATAAACATTATGACAGTACTCATACAAATGTTCTTCAGCATAACTTATGGTGCCAGAGAAAACTGACATGTGGATGGATGCAAAATACATGTAGAATAATTTGACATATCAAGAATACTGCTTTTATAAGAAATAAACAACTTGCATTAGAAAAAATAGATAGGTAACTTACTGTCTCTTTGCTTCAATGTCTCTGCTGAAATCAATATTGGGTTCACAATCAAGAACTAATGCTGGAATCTGCAAACATCCAAACAAGCCTAAGCCACATTCTTAATTAACAAAGTAAATTTCACATAAAGGGACATCCATGGTACCTTTTGAATGCTAGAATGCATATGATCACCCTCCAAATAGAACACCCGATCTCTTATATCAGGATGAAGTGAGCTATCGACATGCAGGGGTAGCTTATTGACAGACAATACTCCATGATTGCCGCTCTGGAATGGGAAAAGCCAGCTTTCGTGTTTTTCATGCAAGCCTTGCAAATACTCAAGGCTGACTCCACCCTCTTCTGCTCTCTTCCGGAGCATCATTCTCTTGTGGCAAGTATCAGGACTTGCCCTAAGATAGATAAAGCCATCAGGAATAAGCCCAGGCAAGCATGAGACAACAGGATCAAACCATGAGTCGTAAATGCTAATCTCCATCTCATTCATCCACTTGGCTTCATGAACAGCTCGGACAAAAACCTTTATTAAGCAAATAAAAATGCATCAGCCTTGAAAGTCTTATAATTTAGGGTTTTCTTCCCTCTTGAATGTGATCAATCAAACAAGAAAGGAAAGAGATGCAAAAGTTTCAAATCCACTGATGTTGGTCGTGGTAAAAATTGAAAGAAATTATTGTTATCACTTGTCTTTCAAGTTTTTCTTAATAACTAGTCAATTTCCACATATCGGTTCAAAATTTGCAATACATTAAAAAAACTGAAACAAGGAAATTGCATGAATTTCCATACAGTTGATAGAAGAAAACCAAAAATATTTACAATAAGATCAATGTATTATGTTCCTTTAAAAGAAAGTAGTGAGCTACAGGATGCTTACCATTCTGTCACTGAAAACACTCCTCTCCATCAATCTGAGAGGCTTAATTCCACCAGATGATTCTTTCTCCTGCATAACCCTCGTAACAAAAACATAATTCTGGAACGTGTAGGCATACCTTTCTGGCTCAGCATAGAAAGCATCCAATATGTTAAAGTGGTCAGGTCCAACATCCTGCCACTTATTAATCGGTTCTGGTACAATCTCAACTAAGTCACGCAGTTCAAGTGTTTCATTAGCTATTCTCTGAAGAAATGTTGTTTTCCCAACACTTATGTTTCCTTCCACACAGAAAGTGAGCCTTTTCTTCGATGCTGGCTTCATACCAGTGTTTGCATCCTTCAACTCTTCATCCACGCTTTCTTGGATAAAGGTTGTTATACTTTCAGCATGATTTCTATGTATAATGCCCACAGAACTCTGTAAATACTCAACCATCTTCTGACTAGCCTTCCAGAACTACAAAAAGGCAGCCCCATAAACCATGTTAGCACAGAATCAAACACTGAAAATCAAGTAATTTTAGGTGCATGATTTCTATGTATAATGCCCACAGAACTCTGTAAATACTCAACCATCTTCTGACTAGCCTTCCAGAACTACAAAAAGGCAGCCCCATAAACCATGTTAGCACAGAATCAAACACTGAAAATCAAGTAATTTTAGGTGCATATAAAGCAAACTCTTGTAGTTTTCCCTCTCAATCAAGAAACTCACTGCTGTGATCATAGACTCCGACCCGTCTAAAACCAAAGCATAATGACAGTGAGACCAACCAAACACAAAAAGGGCTTGCCAGGGTTTCAACCCACAACCTTGGCTCAACAGGATTTCAGCTGTAAGCTTCTTCACCGGTAAACCAAAGTTTGACAACAAATTTTTTTTTCTTTAAATAAAAAAGTTGGTTAACAAATTCTTGTAATTAATTCCTCAAATCAGTAGCCCAAATCATACCTTTATAGTTTAGTGACTGATGATAAGCCCAACTATCAATGAACAAATTCAGATTATACTTAATCCACTATACTACGCAACGCTAATTACCTCTTCCTTATTCTCAAACCAAGCCCACTTACAAAAGAACCAGTAAAAGTTTGTCATGTGAAAAAGGGATACTTAGAACACAAAAATATAAGCAATTATCTGTCATGTGAACCAGTACAAGCTTGTTCATGCAAATAGCAATTTCCATTCTCACACTTTGCTGAGTCCAGCAACGTAAAATCGTCCATCATAAATTGAAGTAAAAAAAGGGAGAAATAACTTAATATGCACAATAAAATTTCGGTTCAGCTAGAAAGATATTAACAAAAATGGAACTAAGTACCTTATCCTTATACAGTTGCTTGAGCTCCGCAACATCTCCAATCCCATTGTCCACAAGCTTCCTCAAATTCCTAGGCCCGACTCCCGGAATCGTCAACAAGTCAGGATTTGCCACGCCACCGCCTGAAGCCCTCTGTCTCCTACTCAACCTTACGCGCTTTTCCTCATTTCCAAGTTGCTCGTCGTCTCCTCCATCGGAACTCTTCAAATCCTCTACGGCTGCTGTTGCCGCCGGAAGCCCCGGCCCGTCCTGCGTACCGGCATGAGACCATGAGGACCTAGTCACGGTCCGGCCCACCCAGGCACGAGACGGAATTTTCACATCAACTGCGCAGCGGCAGGTGCTGTAGCTAGAAGAGGAAAACCGGGCGGCCAACGTATTCCGCGTCGGGTTTTTCGATAAATAAGCAGCAAAAGCCGAGCCACCGCAGGGCATAGGGGTTGCTGTCGGTGGCATTATCAGACAAGGAAAATAATAATGAGGAGAAGCGAGGGATGTTGGAGGCAGACAAGGAAGAGCGTTCTTCTTTTTTCTGGTGCTGCTGTTGAGGCTGAAAGAGTGAAAGCCGTTGGGTCGGTTGGTGGTGTAGAGAGAGAGGAAGTTGGAGGAGAAAGGGAGGGAGAGAGCAGGACTAGCCTGAGACGAGAGGATAAGACCTGCAGGACTGCTTCTGCGTAAAAGCTTCTGCATCCCTACCGAGCATTTCACATTCTGTTGGTGTCGTTTTCTTCTCAGATAGCTGCCCACAAATCTGCAATTACAGAGAGACAGAGACAGAGGGATGGAGAAGGAGGCGGGAAAGTGAATAGAAGTAGATAGCTCCAGAGGGTTTGAAATGTTAAGGGGAAGACGAAGCCGAAGAAGAAGGGTTTTGTGGGGCTTTTGGTTTCTAAATTTTGAAACACGTAGGAAGGGATTTGGGTTAGGGTTTTTTTTTTTTTTTTTTTTTTAATTTTAATTTATGGCTTATGTATATTATTTATGAATAAGTATTACTTATTTTTTTTATAAAATTCTGATTAATTTGTTAAAAACTCTAATAGAAAAATAAGTAATTAGATTTTATTTTGTAATAATAATTATTTATTATTAAATGTGGGTTGTCTTGTGGTGCATTGTGCGCACTATCTATCGCGTATTTGGAGAGAGCTTGATATTTGACACGACGACGTACGAACATATTAGAATACTATTTGACACCATGTATTATTTTTTATTTTTTATTCCAAATTAAGCTGACAAATTATATATTTATAATTTAATGATTAATATTTTTATATTTTATTTTAAATTTACGAATTTAATTTATAATTTTAATTTTATAAAATAAAAATTTTAATTTATTAATATATTAATAAAATTAAAATTAATTTCAATAAATTATTATATTTATAATTTGATATTTTGTAATTATATTATATATTAGGATTTATAATATTTAATTTTGTAAAATTAAAATTTTAATTTATTAACGTGAATGGTAAATTAAATTTACTAAAAAAAATATATATTTTTTGGTGGGCAAATTGCCTTGGTTAAATATCTACCCTCAAATAAAAATATGTATTTAAGTTAATAAAATCAATTATCATTAAATGAAATCAATAAATGATTTTTTTTTAATTTGTCTTGCAAGGAATGTTATGATGATAAATAAATTTATTTTATTAGCATGGTGTTAGAAGGATTTCCGAGATAATAAAACATGATTATTTAATTATTATTTAAAAAAATCCAGCTATTCAATTGAGATTTTAACTGGTAATTAAAATTTTAATTAAATTAAAATACAGAAATTTTCGACTAATCTTGAAAAATCATTTTAAATAATTTAATAATATTACATGACTTATTGTTTCCGGTTCGACAAAACAGAAAAGGCGAATGAATCAATCATTTCAGAGATAGACGGCCCAGATTTATTTGGGCTAAGCTGGCAGATCAATGGTTCAAGCCCATTTATTCAGAATGCATATCGATAATACCCATTATTGTAATTAGCAAATTCTCAAAGTCTTTTTTAAAAAAATAAATAAATAAATTTATATTTTTATTAATTAAGTGAAATACATATCTTAATTGTAATAGAATAAAAATGATATTTATAATCAGTAAAGATACAAAAATATAGTTTGACTCAAATTTATGATCTTTTTTAAAAGAATGCACATGCAAAATAGGGATCAATTAGGATATAAATAAAATATTAGGTCGAACTGTTCTTTGGCGTTAAGATAATAGTTATGAACACCCGGACTCTAAAATTTAGTCCGGAATAATTTAATATTTGTAAGAAAATAAATTTAAAATAATTTAATTTTTATTTTTATGAATTTTTTATAAAATTTGAGTTTTTGATGCATTTGAAAATATTTTTAAAAATCAAGATCAAAGTAGAAATAAATAAATACTTATTTAAAAAAAATCTAAAAAATTAGGGTAAAAATAGAATTTTCAAAAGTTTGGCCACGTGGACCGCCACCTCATCAGCGTGGCCAGTCTCTATGCGCCGCGTGGCAGACACATGGATAAACGTCTACACGGGAGGCACGCAAGCGATCCGTGTACCAGCGGATCCAACGACCCATATAGTATCTCGCGCACATGGATGGTCCAGATCCGTTTCCTCTTCAAACACGATCAGACAGCTGAATTT